ACCACTTTACAATGCCTTAGTAAGGCCACACTTGGAATACTGCATCCAGTTTTGGTCACCACGATGTAAAAAAGATGCTGAGACTCTAGAAAGAGTACAGAGAAGAGCAACAAAGATGATTAGGGGACTGGAGGCTAAAACATATAAGGAACGGTTGCTGGAACTGGGTATGTCTAGTTTAACGAAGAGAAGGACGAGGTGGGACATGATAGCAGTGTTCCAATATCTCAGGGGCTGCCACAAAGAAGAGGGAGTCAAGCTATTCTCCAAGGCGCCTGAAGGCAGGACGAGAAGCAATGGGTGGAAACTGATCGAGGAGAGAAGCAACCTAGAACTAAGGAGAAACTTCCTGACAGTTAGAACAATTAACCAATGGAACAACCTGCCTCCAGAAGTGCTGAATGCTCCAACACTGGAAGTTTTTAAGAAGAGACTGGACAGCCGTTTGTCTGAAATGGAATAGGGTTCCTGTCTGGGCAGGGGGTTGGACTCGATGACCTCCAAGGTCCCTTCCAACTTTATTATTATTATTATTACAATGCAATTTATCTCTGTAGTATCTAATAATATTGCAACAACAGCAGGATTGAAAATGATGACAGCTGGAATCAAAGTAGGCTAAAACACTAACAGGTTGAGATATGCAGAGGACAACACTTTATTAGTTGGAAATGAAGAAGACTTAGAAGATGTATTTTATGAAAATAAAAATGGAAAAAATATAGAAAAATAGAAAATTGGCAATGTAGTCATATCACAGTAGACTGTAAATAAATTACTGCAAGAAAACAAAGTGCTTTACTTGAGTTTAGGTACAATAAGATTACTTGTGTAATATTATATCCAATATTCATATTTATTCAACAATCTGTATGTCAAATTGTATGTATTCATAAGAATTGATTAAAGCAGTTTAAGACAGCTCCAAACTCCCCAGCTTTTATCTAGGAGAACTATTGATAGTATGCCTTTATTTCATCCAGAAGAAACAGGATTATATATAGCACTTTCTACTGCCAGCTGTAGTACTTCACTTTATTCATTGCAGTAAGCCATATATCTGATTTTTTACTTACAATGATATACTTATATAAATCAGATATGTACTGACAAACTTTCTGAAAATGGTGGTGAAGCCTGTAACTGGACATTGTTTATTTCACCAGACTGTATTCGTCCTACATTAAGAAGGATTTGCTTCCCTTGCAAAAACAATTAGTAAACGTCAACAATTTAAAATAGAGCTATGCTTATATCTTAAAGCTTTAGCATTATCTAGTATAATTCCAACTGTGAGTTTAGATTTTTTTTCTGGGCTGCTTAACAGGTATGAATGAATTATGCAATTCTGCATATTTTCATTTAAAACAGGCGTAGTCAACCTTGGCTCTTTTATGACTCGTGGACTTCAACTCCCAGAATTCCTAAGCTGGCTCAGGAATTCTGGGAATTGAAGTCCACGAGTCATAAAAGAGCCAAGGTTGACTACCCCTGATTTAAAACATCTGAGAGCTATAAGAGCTTCAATTGGATGTGATAGTTGACTCGTC